GGGATGGGAGGGGAGGGAAGGAAAGCTAATAAATGGGGGTGAAAAGGGATGGGAAGGGAGTGTGAACGGGTGAACATAGCCAAGGTTGCATGTGGTGGTGGTGGAGATTTGATACGTTTCGATACCATGCACCATGCACCATGCACCATGCACCACGCACCATGCACCATGAACCATGCACCACCCTACCACCCCACCACACACCCAACACAGCACCACACCACCCACCACCACACCACCCACCACCCCACCACCACACCCCCCAGCCCGCAACACCCAGCACGCACTGTGCAGCACGGGGTACAGCCCTCGCTGGTACGTCATCCCACAGATGCCCGCGGCACCAGCTGTCATGGAGATGAGCATGTAGCCGTTGAGCCCCCAGCTTGTGCCCCAGCTGTTGCGGATGATGAAGTAGTTCTCGTTGGACGACACGCCCCCGAACACGTACCCCGTCACCAGCACCACGTGGTCCAGCACGGGCGCGGACGGGTCGAAGCACTCCTCGTTGTCATACACACTGCCGCTGTCCTGCAGGAGGGTAGGAGGAGGAGAGGACAGAGCAGTGAGTGCGAGGGAGGGGGGTGGGTGGGTGGGTGGGTGGGTGTTGTACGTGTTGTCGCTGTCCCGCGACCAGCACCGCTTTCGAGAGGCGGGTCCCAAAGGTGGTCTGACTGCTGGGCTGACAGATCGAAGCACACCTCATTGCTGCCGCTGTCCTCACGCGCTCACGCACACACACACACACCCACACACATACACACACTCACACACACACACACACTCACACTCATACACACTCACACACACACACACACACACACACGCGCGCGCGCGCGCACACACACAAGCACGCACGCACTCCTGCACAACAAGGGTTTCTCAACCCCCCACCCTCTCATCCTCTCGATACTCTCCCTCCCTCTCTCATGCACACCACACGTTTCCCTCCCTCTCTCGCGCACGCCATCACGTCTCCCTCCCTCTCTCGCGCATGCCATCACGTTTTCTTCCTCCCCACCCCTCAACACACATATGCTCGCGCACCACCGCTTCTCAGGCGTGTCAGAAGGCGTCTCAAAGGTCGAGTCAAAAGCCGCCCCCTTCCCCTCCCTCCCACAAGCCACCCGTGAGTGAGGTGACCAACTCACATCGTATGATCGTACGCCTGGAAGCCCTCCATGGATGTATTAACGCTCACCACCACTTTCGAGACATCTCAAAACACATTTCAATATACATCTCAAAATACGTCTCAAAACACATCTCACAAGTTTCAGGAGTTCCTCCCTCCCATCCCCCACCCCCCTCTACCCCCAGCGAACCCACGATCGCGTGATTCACACATCGTACGCCTGCAAGCCCTGCATGCATGGACGCATACATGCTCACCACCACCACTGGCTGCTTCCTCAGACAGCTCTCCAGACGTCTCAAAAGTCCCCCTCCCCCTCCCCCTCCCCCTCCCCCTCCCCCCTCCCCCTCCCCCTCCCCCTCCCCCTCCCCCCTCCCCCTCCCCCTCCCCCTCCCCCTCCCCCACCCCCCCACCCCCCACCCCCACCCCCACCCCCACCCCCACCCCCTTCCCAAGCCACTCATCCACGCCCCCGTCCCACTCACATCGTACGCCTGAAAGTCCTGCATGGATGGACACATAGATGCTCACTGTCACTGGCTGCTTCGTCAGCTCCCACAAGCCCTCCCCCTTCCCAAGGCACGTACGCACCCATGACTGCGGGAGGGACTCACATCGTACGCCTGAAAGTCCTGCATGGATGCATAGATGCTCACTATCACTGGCTGCTTCATCAGCACCCGCATCAGCCCCACCGCTCCCGGCAGCGGTACCTGCAGGACAGGCGGGCCAGAGGGAAGAGGGAATGGGAATGGGGAAAGGGGAAGGGGGAAAGCGGACAGGGGGAAAGGATAAAGGGCAAAAGGGGGAAATTGGGAAAGGGGAAAAGGGGAAGAAGGAAAGGGGCACAGGGGAAGCGGCAAGGGGGGAGGGAGAGGATAAAAGGGGTGGCTTGATGGAATAGTATTTGGGTTTTTCATGCTTGCTTGTAGCGTGCAGGTTGCAGCGTGCCACTAACAGCTTGTAGCCTAGAGAGAAGCAAGCGAAGGTGAAGACGAAGGCGAAGGCGAAAGCGACAAGGGCCTTACCTGCTCGAACATGTTGATTGACACCGATACCCCCGAGACATAGCCCAGCGGGGACACGGACGCAGCAGAGGACGAGGAGGAGGACGAGGAGGAGAGGGAAGCGCCAGCGGAGGAGGGGAACGATGGGGAAGATGAGGAGTGAGAGGAAAAGGAAGAGAGGTGGCTCTGTGATTGGGATTGTCCGTGCGGTGCTGTCGCTTCCTGTGGGAGAATGGCCGGGCGTAAACGGGAAGAAAGCTTGGCCTTAGCAGCAAGAGGCAAAGCCAGGGCGTGGCATGGTGTACAAGAGGCGAGACGACAAAACATTGGGAGTTGGGGTCGAGAGCAGATGAGCTCTTTATTTTTCATGACCACGAGCAAAGCATGCTGTGAGTCTGTGATGAGCTTGTTGTTGATTGACACGATATGGCCTGCTGCTGCAGCCCGCTGCACTGCATCCGACCTTTCTCAGCAAGTTTGAACCATAGGCTCGGCAAGACCCCCCACCATGCACGCAGATCAACAGGTGAAGCAAGCAGCAGGAGGAGCAACAGGAGGAGCAGAAGGAGGAGCAGGCAGGAGGAGCACTCACCTTGCATTCGCCCTTCTTGGCTGTGTAAGGGTACACATCGCTCACAGTCACATTCCTCTCCGTCCACATCTGCAGAGCGTCCTGGGGATAGCCCCCCCGGCAGCCGCCCACGGAACAGTCCAACACCTGCTGCACCGCCAGGCTGGTCTTTGTCGTGAAATACCCCGAGAACAGACGGAACGCGCCTTGCACCGCCGCTTCCACTGCAAACGCCCAGCATGAGGCTGTTGGGTGGGGAGGGAGAGGGGAGAGTGGGATGGTGCAGGTGGGAAGGGAGGGAGAGGGGAAAGGTGGGGTGGAGGTGGTGATGGGTTGGGAAGGGTGGAAGACGTGAGGGACAGGTGGAGTGGAGGAAAGTGGAAGGGAGGGAGGAGGAGTGGGGTGGAGTTGAGTGAGTGGAGGGGAGGGAGGTGAGTACTGTTGGAAATGGAAGCAGACGTTCAAGCCAAGTAGACCGTGGTGGCTGTCAGCTGTCAGGCACGCACACGCAATGGTCAGGGAGGTTTCGTGTTTGCCCAGCCACTCACTCACCGCACATGCCCTGGTCGCCCGGGTCGCTGAGGATCTCCGAGTGGTCAACAGCAGCCTCCAGCGTGGAGAAGTAGTCCGGCACACCCGTGGCAGCGTCAAACGTGACCCCCGTGGTGACGAACGGCGACACCGGGTTGAAGCTCGCGTGCGCCTCCTCCAGCACCTCCGCCTTGGGCGGCTTCAGCCCCAGGCGCGGATCAATTGCTGCTCGTTGTTGTGCCGCCGCGCATGCAGGCGGTGACGAGATGGAGTTGGGAGGAGAGGAGCGAGGGGGGGAAGTAAGAAAGGGAGGGAAGTGGAGGGGGGAGGGGGGAGGGGAGGAGAGGGGAAGCGGAAGGGGGGGAAGAAGAGGAGAGAGGAGAGGGGAGGTGAGGAATGGCGACACCGGGTTGAAGCTCTTCCACTATGAGCTAAGAGCCGCGGATCAATTGCTGCTCGCCCCCGCGGTGCCGCATGCGCTGTGCACGGGTGGAGATGTTCGGGAGGTAAGGAAAGAAGGGGGGAGGAGGGTAGGGGAGGGGGGGGTAGGGGAGGGGAGGGGAGGGGAGGGGAGGGGAGGGGAGGGGAGGGGAGGGGAGGGGAGGGGAGGGGAGGGAAGGGGAGGGGAGGGGAGGGGAGAAAGAGAGTGTATGTGGGTGTCCAACAGCGGCGTAGATGTGAGCATAAGCTTCAGCCGTTGTTATGTTCCACAAGCATGCCAGTGTGGTGCGCCCAGCCTACCCCAGCCTACCCCAGCCTACCCCAGCCTACCCCAGCCTACCCCAGCGCTCTGCGTGTTGTCCCTGTGGTATGAGGCACTCACGAGGAGGACTTGGGGGGCGGTTGTTCTTGCGCTTGCGGCGCCCCATGATCTGGCTGATCCATTGAATAATCTTCTCCAACGGCGACGGTGCTGCTGCTGCTGCTGCGCTCCCAGCCCGCGCGCTCGCCTTGCTGCTGCTCTGCAGCTGCGCCGCTCCTCCTGCTCTCTCCCCTGCCCCCACTGTCGTTGCTGCTGCTGCTGCTGGTCTCTGTGTGGCCGGCTGAAGGCTGGAGGAGGAGGAGGACGACGACGGCGACGACGACGATGACACTAAGGGTTTCTTTTTCGAGGGTGAGGGAAGAGGTGAGCGGCGACGGGTGGAAGGGAATTTAGCAGGCGGGTTCACGGCGGTGGCGTGCACAGCAGAGCCGCCTCGCACTGCGACAGACTGCTTGCTGGTGGGCGCGTGGCGTGCTGCAGGCTGCTTCGGATGTGTACGGGGCTGCTGGCACTCTGAGTACGTTCACAGGGGGCGGAGGGCAGAGGTGTGAGGGGAGAAAACGGGGAAACGGATCAACACAAGGGTGGGCATGTGCAAAGTGAGTGGACAAGTGACATGCCAAAGAGATGCATGGGCTTGCCTTCTCGAACTTTCGGGAAAAGCAGCTCTGCTTTCTCGTCCCTCGTACTCAGCTCAGTCTGACTCAGAGGCGAGAATCAGCTTCTATAGGACCTGTCTCACTGCCTCAGCCTCAATGCTCACTGCCCCACTGCCGGTTCGACCCACTGAACCCACTACACCTACTTTCTCCGGTGCATTTTCCGCGAGAGCCGGAGCCACTTGCAGCGGCAGTACCGTCAGGCACGCGAGGGGGTGGTCTGGCGTTGGAATGCTGCGCGCTGGAAGCAACCTCGTCGCTCGGTCTAGTACTAGCCAAGTGACGGGCCTTGGTGCTACTCGGGCTCGCTGGTACTGCTTTGGGGGTGGTAGGCGTGCAAGGGGAGAAGGGGAGGAGACGGACAGGAGAGTTGGAGGAGCATGCGGCGATGGCCGATGGGAAAGGGTGGGTGATGGCTGATGGGAGGAGCATGCGGCTATGTGGCATCTAAGGCGTGCCGCGGATGCTGAAATGAGTGCGCATGTTGGACGAGACGAGAGCGAAACAGCGCGGAGAGGGCCCCTCAAAATGTATGCGAGGGCTGAGGATGGGCTAAGGAGAGGGACGAAGGAGGAGGGTAGATGGTTGCGGTGAAAAGAGGGAGGGTGAGAGGGAGGCCGTGGGAAGGCGGACAGGAGGAAGGAGCGGTGGGAGAAGGAGAGCACTAACCGGGCGGCGACACGTCATTAGACTCCGCGGACACGTCAGTTAAGAGCGGGGAGGGGAGCAGCTGCAGGGTGAGAAGCAGCAGCACCGGCAGCAGCAGCGCGGTTGAGTCACGCCGGAGACGTCGTGGCGCGGCAAAAAGGCGCGGGTTGGCTGCGACCCAGCGCCGCGGAGGACATTCCAGCGTTGCGAGGAAACGGGAACGCAGCGCACCCGCACGGCCCGCGCGGCGCGGGGGACGACTGGCTGGCGGAGCCGCGCGAAGCGGGTCACAGCGCGCGGCACGGGAGGTACTTGGGACGCAGCGAGGCATGGCGGGGGAGCGCGCGGACTCCGCGGAGGGGACACAGCGGCGAGGGGACTCGCGGCGGACGAGGCGGCGAGGCCCCGACGATGGGGATTGAAAGAACTCGCCGGTCGACCGAGGTGGCGTCTCTGCGTTCACACGGCTTCGGAGGCGTCACTTTCACAGCAACACGGCGCTGGTTTATCCGCTAATTCTCCTCAATTTGGAGGAAATGAGTCGAGAGACAAGAGGCGAGAGAAGAGAGTGGATAGAGAAACCTTTCTCTAAGGTAAAACTTTACGAGTGAAAGAACAGTTTCAGAGTGTCTCACAACATGCACACTGCCTTTTGAGGCGCCTAATAATTCGTTGTACGTGGGCCCGCGCCGAAGTTTCACGGGAAAGAAAGAGTTTGGATCTAAGAGCAGATGTTCAATCAGGATACTAACCAAGTTTGGGAGTGGGATGGTACTGCTAGGAAGCCTCTGGTTCCAGCGATATACTGGATGGAGAGGAAAGGACGATGGCGGAAGCCAGTGTGTTACGAGCCTGATAATAAAATGGACCCTGCGTGCAACGACTTTAGGAAAACGACGATAAGGAAGTGACGATTCCGTGACGAGTGACTACGGAGGCGACCATACTAGGAGCAAGCCTGCTGCTACCACGACAAATGTCGTCTCTGACGTTATTGGGAAGACTAGTTGCTGCTGCTGACACTGCGGCCATCGTGCCGTAGTTACTGGGACAAGCAGTGATGTAAACCATGGAAGGTTGTGTTGTGTGCGGTGAGGCATGGGTGGCAGCAACAAGCTGAGGTAGTAGTGTGTGACAGCACGCTTGTGAATTCAAGGGCAGGTGCATCAGATGTTCTGAACTTGACGAGTTTTGATAATCTCTGAAACTTCTGTTTCTGGCTAGGTCGGACTACAGTATAGCGATCCGTCTGCACTTTTGAAAGGCGGATGTGGGAGGGGAGACCCTCAGAACACCCAATCCCAACCCCTTTTTTTTAGAGGACCCTCATTTAAAAGTTAAAGCTGCGGTCTACATACCAAAGGGTATTTTCTGGGTGTATTTCGGGTGCACACCCTAAGACGCAGTCTGATTTGCACACGAAATGATCCCTTTCCAGAAATGAGAGCGCGAAGGATTCAAACACAACTGGCGAATCCCGCCAGTTTCGTGCAAGGTTTGGTTGGGGGGGTCTTTTTTCGTGAGATTGGGGTTGTGGTGGCGATTTCGCCACAACCTGCAACCAATCGAGGTTGGGGGGTAGATTGGCGCGAAATTTGTAAGCCAAACCTGAGCAGGCCAACTTTCAGAGGGGGGGTTGGGTTGTCAGAAAGCAGTAACTGCCCCTCGCCACCCAAGGATGGAGCGAAGCTCTGTGCTACCTGGTTTTCAAGTGATAAACCAGGTCCTCCCGCAGGAGGTATGTAGGCGACAGCTGTGAGAGTGGAGCACAGCAAGTCATGAAATGAATTCTGTATTACAGATGTGACAGAGAGCGCAACTCCTTGCAGATATTACCAACAGCATATGCCGCAAATCCAAGCCTCGTTTGCTGGTGGTGCAGTGGATTAGTGTGGGTTTGGGAGGGATGGTGCGGGGTTGAAGGAAGGCCAGGTTTGAAGGTGCGTGCAATTTTTGTTTGTTTGGGCACCCCTCACCGCACACCTCTGTCCGTCGAACCCCTGGTCTGGAATCTGCAAGCAGAAAAACCATGACCAGGAACGAGCCAAGCTAAATCCAGCCGACAGATTGTCGACCCTGTCCCCTATTTGTGTGGGCTTCCCGCCCGCGCGTTGGCCTGCTCGATACTGTACGGCAGCGCAACTGGTGTCAGAGAGAGCTTGCCGTTCTGAGAGGAAAGGCTGGTTCGGTTGGTGGTGGTGTGGTGAGGCGGCGCGTCTTGTTCACGTAACCTCTTTTAACCGCTCCTCACCAATCTGAAAAGTGATACATGAAACGTGACACACCCTCCCTCAGTGCCCCACTGATGACTTGGTCGTCTGATTTCTCCGACGATTTGTTTCCAGTCCAGACAAAAAGCAGCATTTCAGGGGTGTCCGATAAATACGGAGGAATTGTCGGTTGTTGCTACATTCTTGAGTTTAGTGAAACGGAAGCCCCGAGTTTACGAGGATATGCTGGAACGTAATGTCGGTGTGAATTTGAGCAATGGTGTCATAATTTAGATACCACGAAGCAGTCCAGAACTGTACCAATTCCAGAACTAATGGGTAGTAACTCAGGGTGCGAGACTATTAGAATATACTTTCGATAGACCTTTGTCATTTGACGATACCTGTTACGGGTGAAATGAATCGAAGTAGCGAGAATTGCACTAAGGTGTCAAACGAGTACAAAGATGTGAGCGAAGGCATGAGCGAACATTTATACGCGAAACATGCAAACGGTAACGCGGTGCGTGCGAGCTAGCTAGTGCTATGCTGGCAGCGAGGCTCGGGCTAGTCCCGAAGCGTAGGCCGACACGGCCGGGCCAGCAGTGCAAGGTTTGGCAAAACAGTGTGCGCGAAGTTGGCGAAGTCCCGTTAGCAGTAACGGGCGAACAACGGCTGTTGCTGTACGCGATGTAGTCGGGCTCCGTAAGGAATGCCGAGAAAACTCCTTACAATACCTCGTAGGTGATCCGCAACATGGTAAAAACCCATTAGACCCATTATTTTACTGTACCCGGATTCAACTTCTGAAATGGGTTCCAAAAGTACTTCCGTAACATTGATGTCCAAATGTATCACATTAGTTATAGGTAGGATCTAGCTGTACAATCAAGTCTTTACGGATGACACTACACAGTTGAAGAAAACACCTATGTTCAGTGATTAAGGGTGGTCAGGTGACTCTCGCCTGAATGCTGGAAGAGCGGCTAGGGTTAGGAAAATAGAGAAGCCAGGCAGGGTCGACCAGAAAGGACGTCGATCAATGGATGACGTCACATGTTAGCCTACAAAACCTTTCCGCGTCGCGCAATTCTAGGTTTGAACAGGAAGGATGGTAGCTACCGTCGCGCGGCTCTTGGTGGAAAAATTCTATGCCTGCATAGCTACTAGCTTGGTCGACTAGCTACCCGGGCTCCCACCTGGAGCATGGACCCGTTTCGTATGTCAGGAACGGACGAGGCTCGAAGCTGAAGGCTGAGCAGACCAGCTTTGCGAACACGGCTGCTGCGATTAGCGATGGAAATTGGAGCAGTGGTTACCGCACTCATCGTGCCACATGCGTCGCTAGTGGTAGCACCTCCCTGAAACGCGCTTCCACTACTATTAGGAGAACGATAGTTTGCCGCGCTAACGGCGGAGGGGGAATTGTGGCGCGCGCCGACGTTGCGCGGCTGGCGCATGAACGACGCCGCGTTCACCTCCGCGTGGCCGGCGGCGGCGGTGATGGTGGAGCCAGCAGGCAACAGCAGCTCCCAGAACGGCGCTTCGTCACTCTCATCGTGATTACTACTAGGCGTAATGTTATGGAGAGCATTGTCCGGCGCTACGCCTACTACTGCACTGCTGCTGTTCGAGGAGCTGCGCTTGCCTGCGCCCCGTCCGATGTCGAATCCTTGCTGCTGCCGCGCCGCAGCTACTGACGCGGACTGCTGCTGGTCCTGCTGCTGCTGCTGCTTGCGAATGCCCGTGCTGCTCGGCAGTCGCCGAGTTATGGCTGTAGCCAGGTCTGACAATAACGCAGCATCTACCGGGATGAATCTTGGAGATGTTGGTGGAACGGCGACGGCGGGATTTCCTACAGCGATTCCGCTTTTTCCTACTGTAGTAGTAGCTTCTCCTGCTGTCTTTGAGAGGCTCGCCTCTTTACTGCTGCAGTCTGATGCTGTTGGCTTAGCAGTAGCGGGGGGTGCTGAGGCCAAAGTTTCTGGGAGAGTGGCAGGGGTGAGGACGGCCTTGCTTGTTGGGAGCAGATTGGCCGCGAGTCTCGCGACGGCGTTGGCTTTAAGCATCATGGACGCCTGCTCGCTGCTGCAGCTGCGGCAGCTGCATCCGAACGTGCTCACGTCGCTGCTGCTCACGCTGCTCGCGCCGTAGCTGCTCACGCTGCCGCAACTGCTGGACCCGCCATCCCCCCCCGTCGCGCCAGCAGCGCGCAGTCTTCGCGGCCGACCGCTTCCGCTCTCCCCACCGCCCGTCACGGCTTCCGCGCCTGACTTGCTGCCGCTGCATGCGCCGCACCACGCGTCACCCGCCTCCGCCTCGCGCTGGTGCATAGGGCAGAGGGCCGGAGGAGTATGCGAAGGGGAGGGGGAGGGGGAAGCGGCGGCGGGGGGAGCGGCGGCCCCTCGGCGGCGAGAAGGCGCAAGCCACTTGGAGTTCATGTACTGCGATCGGCGCCAAGGCGGGAGATGGAGGCTCTGCGACGCCATGCACACGCGCATAGCCTCGATGAGCAGCGCAAGCAGCTTGCGCAGAGTGGCAGGCGTGCCGACGAAAACCCTGGGGATGGCGGACCAGAGCGCCTGGTACTCGGGGGTTGGGCGGAAGAGTGTGAACTGCGCGCGGAAGGTTATGTCCACTATTACTACCTGCTGCTTTCGGTCCTGCTGTACAGGTGGTTTGTCCTGTGGGTATGCTTTTCCAGAGCTTGGTGTTTGCTGCTGCTGGTATTGCTGCTGTGAGAGGTGATGTGGCTTGGTTGGTTGGGGAGAGGACGAGGCGCCAATGGCGGTAGGAAAGGCGACCTCCACAAATTCATACTCGCCTGAGGGGATGCCGCGGGAATACGCCCACTCCGTCACTCGCCGGCAAGCGTCGTACCCCCGCTGGTTGAGCAGGTAAGCCACGGTCGCCCGTTGCTCAGCCTCGCGGCAGTCCTCGCACCCCGCCGCTCCCGGGTGGCTCGGCCTATCCCACAGCCCCGTCGCGCCTCCCGCGACCGCCACCGGCGCCACCGCCAGGTTCTGCGCATCCGTCGCCGCCGCGTCCACGTCAGCAGCCAAGCGCGGGAGGAAGTGCTTCAGCGGGTTGGGCGTCTCACCGATCTTGGGCGATCGGGTTTTCAACGTCTTTCGGTAATCCGCCAGGGTGTGGTCGAACGAAGCGCGCACGTCGGCCCACTCGTCCTGGAAATCCGGCTCATCGTCGATCGCTGGTTCTGGCGCTGGCTGCGACGGCCGGGCAGCTCGGGCAGCCGCGGCGGAAACGTTTCGGCTGAAGGGTGACCAGGGGGCAGCGGAGGGGATTTTGCGTCCGAGTGTGCCGCCTGCCCAGGGCGGACGGATGGCTGAAGTCCGAATGACGCCAGCAGCCGCTGCTTTCGCGGCTATTTTCGCGAGGCGTCTTTCACGAAGCTTCTGCATCCCCGACCGCTCTTGCTGCTCCCACTGCATCACCTCTCCTTCCAGCCAGACATCGTCGTTCGCTGTGAGAACCATTTCTACTTGCTCCCTAACGTGCGGCTCCGTGTGACGGATTGAAGGCGCTATTTGGAGAAGCTGAGGGACTGACTCGCACTAATTACCACCGACAGGTCAGACATCAATAGGTTTCGGAAGCGGAATCACAGCGAAAAGGAGTCGTGAACGGTTATCTAAGGAATTAAACTGGACTAAGAGATGTTTCAAAGTCTCACAACAGGGATTAAGCTCTGTGCGTGGGTGGACCACTATGCGAAAGGCGGAAACTGTGCTGGTCCAATTCGCTGCCTCTGCTTCTGAAATGTAAACTGCCAACCTAGAAATGACTCTTGAAATGCTTTCGGTTCTGGCTTTGTTGGTGAAATATGGTCGGAGGATGACGAGGCCCCGCCCCGCGGCGCCACATCCAGCAGTGAACTGGGAGCTTAGGTGAAGGGGAGATGAATTTTCGCCTGAAGGGACGGGTCACGACACAGTCCACGGCGGCAGCGACGAACCGCAGCTGGCCGTTGGGTGAGTGGTTGGGCGGTGTCGTGCCCAGAGAAGAGATTTGTGGTGGGTTGGGTTGCCGTGACGTCCCGCGAGGGAAGGAAGCTGACTCGGACGAGAACGGATATCGAGGGATCAGGGGGTTCAAGAATCAAGAGGGAGACGAAACGAAGCCAGATGGCTGGAGTCCATGAGCCGTGTGGTATGGAGGTTGGTATGGTGGATTGCGTTTCGTCCGCTGACCAAGGAGTGACGAGCGGCGGCCGTGAATTGGCTGGAGGCAGGCAGAAAGGCTCCGGCGAACCTGGACCTGCGCCGAGCATTCCTGGAAGTCACGACGCGCTTCGAGAGTCTAGTGGAAGATACGAGACGGGACAGAGAAGACTTTCTAAATACATTGAACCTGGTTCGGAGTCTAAAAACAATGTACATGTAAGGAAGCAAGCGAATTCGTACATACGAACTGTGTCAGGTGGAACCCCGTCAACCTTCCAGCGTAGCGCTGAAAGTGCGGAACTGTGTAGCGCGCGAATTCCACCTGGGACCCTGCACTTGGCGTTCATTTGCGGGAGAGGTATGACGGTGATTGCCAAGACAGCGTATCAGGGATCATGCATTGCATTTGGACAATTGCTCTTGGAAAGCCGCAACCCCGTCATTGTGTAAGGCCACAACCTCAACCCTAGTAAATATATTGTATCAGTTAACTAACTAGTGGCTACCACAACTATAAGCTTCTACTTATAAGATATTATTCCTATCTCTGATGCCTACTCAGGCACATTAGTTGAACTTACGCAAACCAACCCTTTGCCCACATCATTCATGCTACCTACATGTTCACATCATGTCACAGACCAACTACACTGCCTCACCATCCTCTCCCAACTCTTCCTCCTCTTCTGTAACCTCCTCCGATCCTTCCTCCAGTTCACCCCGTTCATCGCAAGGCCGGCACAACCAGAACCGCACAAGTGGGGGCAGAGCAGCGAGGGCCGTGAGAAGGTGCAAGTGATAGTTCCCCCCAGCAGACATTCGCACGGAAATGCCGCCTACAGCCCGACTGTCCATACTGGCACGCACTCGAAGCGAAGGGACGCTGCCGCCACTGCCAGTGTTACTGCTGCTGCTGCTGCTGCTGCTGCTGCTGCTTCTGCTGCCACTGTTCATGTTACCACTGCCCCTGCCACCACTCCTGTTGCTGCTGTCACCCCTGGCCTTAGACCCATGGCCAATGCTGTTCTTCCCGCTCGCTCCAGCACTGCGTTTGCCCTTACTGCTCCTTCCAGATACAGTCCGATCTCCCTTCTGAAAAAGTGCAGAAGCAGGCGGGGCAACGAGTGGCAGCTGTACCTCCAGCACTGCGCCGAATATGGTGGCGCCCTGCCAGTGCAGCAGCGAGAGGCCTGCTGCTGCCATGGCTCGTGAAGACATGGAGGGTGAAGAAGCAGAGGAGGAGGAGGAGGAGGAGGAGGAGGAAGAAGTGGCAGGAGCGTGCACCTACGAGGGGACAGGAATGGGTTGGTACAAGATGTGAGATTGTGAGGGTCAGTAGCGCAAGATGGGGTTGAAAGGGAGAGGGGAAGGGGGCTGGGAATAGGGAAAAAGGGGAAGAGACAGCTTGAGTGATATTGCAAATGCGGTACTGCGTGTGAGGCCCATTGAAACGGGACATGGCACGGTATGGAGGGGAAGGAGGGGGGTGGTGGGAGTGAAGTGCTGTTTGTGCTGGTGCAGCCAACACCATCTTTCCGGCATGCTGATTGATGGCAAACAACACTGCAACATGACACAAGGCAACGACACAGCTTGGCTGACGCCAAGCCACATGCTGTCAACTCAACTGCCGACAGCATAGTTTCGCAGCTTGGCGAGACATAATGGAAGCCCATCTGTAGCATGCACATGCTGAAGCTCACCTGTAGCCTGCACATACTTGCATATTCAACGCATGCTTTCCTGTGTCCACACAAAGGCCTGACCTGACAAAAAACAACACATAAGGAAGCTCACCTGCAGCCTGCACGTGGCGCCCACTGCCTCCTCCTGCCCCCACCGCACTGCTGCTGCCGACCCACTCACTCGAACACACCGCCCCAGAGCCACTCGTGACGACAGCTGCGACGATGAAGAATAAACAACCAGAGGAGATCTGAGTTCCAAAGACTTGGATGGTGGTTCCAGGGAGATGACTTCATCTCACACAGACGAGCACAGCTTAATACGACTCCTAGACAGTCCAACCAAGTTGGCAAGGAAAAAAAAAAAAAAAAAACTGGGAGCATGCACACATGCAGTGACGCTGAAATAGGTATTTGATTATCTCCAAGCATAAAAGGTAGCAGCAACCCACAACACTCCCGTACTAACATCAACCATCCCCATCCCCATCCCCATCCCCATCCACTGCGTACACGAAATGCATACCTTTGCGCCCACTGCAACCCCATCTCCATAGTCGCTCCCCATGGCCACAGCCACACCAGCCGCCGTCCTGTTGCCTCGGAACAGTGACACCCTCACATCCGACCGCACCGTACACGTGGCAGCTGCTGCTGCTGATGCCAATTCCAATGATGCTGCTGCCCCACCTGCTCCTCGTGCACCAGAAGTGGCGTGCAATGAGGAAGCAGCGCCACCCGAACCCCTTGTCCCGGACTCCCCTGCTCCTCGCCCTCTTGCTGCACCTGCCCCATCCGATCCAGGTTCAGCTGCTGCTGTTGTCCGTGCAGCCCGCACACCAGCACCAGCCCTGTCAGCAGCAGCAGCAGCACCCTTGGCTGCATCCATGGGTCCTCGGGAAAAGCTCCTCCACAGGGCTTTCAACAGCCCACCTTCCCTCTCCTTCCCCACTCCTCCTCCTCCACCTGCTGCTGCCCCTGCCACCACCCCTCCTCCTGCCTCTCCCCCTCCCCCACCTCTCGGCCCCCCCTCTCTCACTCCCCTACCCTGCGCAAAATCATCAAAGCCCGAAATAGCCCCAAAACCCTGCAGTCTGCTGTTGCCGCCTCTGCTGACTATCCTAGACCCCATCCCACTAGCTCCCCACACTTCCCCTCTCCCCCCTCCCCCTCCCCCTCCCCCTTCCCCTGCCCCTCCCGCGGCCATCATGAGGGCCCAGGCGGGTGTGCGGCGAAGGCAGATTTCCAGTCCAGCGGTGGTGACGGGGTTGGCGAGGGAGCGGGGTGCGTGGCGGAGCGAGGCAGAGAGGTCCGCGTCTAGCAGTAAGAGAGCCTTGGACGAGACTAGCTGGAACACCAGAGAGGAGGGTGGAACGGGGGGGAGACAGAGTGGGGGTGGAGGAACGGGAGGAGGGGAGGGGAAGAATGGAGGGATTGGAGGAGTGGGGGAGGAAGGGAAGTGGATGAGTGGTCGGGGGAAAACGGGATAGAAGGAAGGGGAGATGAAGGGAGGGTGAGGCATGGGGGATATTGAGCACGGGAAGAGAGACAGGGCGAGAAGTGGAGTGGAATTTGGTCAATGGTACGAATGGGGAGACGCATAGATGGTAAAGAGGTGCCTCTTTTTGAGTTGCCTCGCTTTGAGGCGCCGGAAACACGCAGAGAACGACTGTGGAGAGATGCTGAGAAATATCTGCGGTGGAGAGAAAAGCAGCAGAGGACATTGCGTGGCGATGGAATGAAAGCGGAACGAAGAGTGAACGGCTCTTGTTGAGAAAGGACGGTACGTGAACGAAATGAGAGGGGAGGGAGGGGGCTGTTGGAACGGCCGAAGGCAGGGGGAAGTGTGGAAGCGAGGTCTGAAGAGGAAGAGACAGTACAAGAACCTTGCCCTGACTTTTCCTCCCATCCAGCCCTCCCTCCACCTCTTCACCTCTCCCTCCTACCATCCCTTTCCCCAACTCCAGCCTCCTAGCCCCCAACCTCCCTCTCTCCTTCCCATTCCCCTTCCCTTCCCGCACCCTTCCTCCCTCAATCCCACCCTCCCTCCCTCCCTCCCACCGCACGCTGCTCACCTGAGCAGTGACGGCGGCGGGAAGGTGAGAGGAGGCGGCAAGGCAGCGGTCGAGCAACAGGGCGTTGAAGGGCGGCGCATGCTCCCACACCGGCCAGGGGGGCGGCAGGGAGAGCGGGAACACCGCACTCACCTGTGGTAGAGTGGGGGGGGCGGAGCACGAGGGAGCGGGCGGAGAGAGGGAGGGAAAAGGGAAGGAGGAGGGGGTAGGAGGGGAGGGGGAAAAAGGGGAACAGGAAAAAGGGAGAAGGGGGAAAAGGTGGAGGGAAAGGGGGAAAACGGGAAGGGAGAGAAAGGGGGAAGAGGAAAGGAGGGAAATGGGGAAAAGGGGCAAAAGGGAAAGAGGGGAAAGGGGGAAGGGAAGGTCGAGCAGGAGGGCATATGGATACTGCAAGGGAACAAAGATAATCTTTACAGGGTATGCATAAAAGGGGGTCAGGGGGGGCGGAAAGGATGGGGGGGAGGGGGGAGTGGGGAGTGGGGAGTGGGAAGGGGGGTTGATGAATTTGTGCGATGTGAACGGAGAGAGTGACAAGAGGAGAGTAGCAACCGTAGAAGTTGCACAGTGGGGAGGAGATGACAAGGCCTGGTACTCCCACAGGGCCAAACCTGCTCTCAGTTCTCCATTCCACCATCATACGCACCACAATCTCTCACTAACATCCATCATTCTGCCCCCACAACAGACCCCCGCCTGCCCCCATCACACGGGCCTGCTCGCACACACCTCGCCTCGCCGAGTGACGTGTCTGAAGTGGTGTGCGGGCCAGTCCGAGTGGAAGGACGGAGGCAGCTCCACCTCTGCTGTCGCCACTGCTATTCTCTCCCGCCTCTCCCTCCTCCCACCATTGCCATTGCTGCTGCCATTGCCACTGCTGTTGCTCCCCTCTCTCAGCCTTGCTCCTCCCACAACCCCCCCCCCCTTGATTCACCACCTTCTCTTGTTCCTGCCCCTGTCCCTGACCCTGCTGCTGCTGCTCGTTTCCCCCTCGTGGTCTCTCTGCTCCGGCCACCCCTGTCCCTGCCGCAGGGCCTGGTACTGCTGCTGCCCCTCCGCCTCCTGCTCTATTCACCTGCCTTAGACGTGCTTGCTGCCGCCTCACCCGTCTCTGCTCCTTGCACAAGAGCCGCTGTGTGGGGAGAGGGTGTGGTGTGGGGTTGAAGAGCGCGGAGGTAGGGTGGGGGTGGGGTTGAGAACACGGGGCAGGAGGATTCAGGAATAAGGTTTGAGGTTTGAGACATCCAACAAGGCGATGGGCGAGGGGGTAGTGGGGTTGGAAGGATGGGAAGAAATGGAGATGTTGGGGAGAGGTGTGGTGGAAAACAATTTCTAGAGAGGGAAGGAACAACAGTAAGGAACACCTTGGAGAGGGACAGCTGATGCAACACTGGAAGATTTGACACCACAACACAACACAACCTTGTACTACCAGCACTGATCTCCATGCACTCCCACATAACGCTTCTGAGGCTACTCAAAGCACCTTCATAATCACATGGCCATGATGACACCACGCCAAAACCTAGTATCAGCACAGATCTCCATGCACTCCCGCAGACGACTTTTGAGGCTACCCAACAGTCACTTCCACCCACACACGCATACAAGCAAGCACCCCACCTCATCCCCCACCCTCCCACTCCCCCCATCCGTCCTCCTCCTCACCTCTGCACGTCCCTCCCACGCAGCGAGCTCAGCCCGGTAGCGCCTCATCTGAGCGGCGGACAGCAGCTGCTGCTCATGCGACGACAAGTGGTGGAACGACCCTCCTGCCCAGAACCCCGATGCTTCTCCTCCTCCCCTACCTCCTCCTCCCCTTCCTCCCCCTCCTGCCCCTCCGCCTCCTCTGCCTCCCCTCACCCCGCCCTGCGTAGCCCCCTCTTTGCCCTTGCCTTTCCCCCTGCCTGCGCAGCCCAGCTGCCCCGCGTCATCCTCGTCCCCAGCACTCCCCCCCCAGGCGCGCTCTTCCACAGGAAGCAGCAGGGGGCGCCTGGTGCTGAGCAGAGAGGAGAGCAGGCAGGGGAGCGGTGGCAGCACGGAGGCAGGTGAGGAGGAGGAAGAGTGAGAGCTGCTGCCACTGCGAGGGCTTGTTGTGCTTCCTGCCGAGGCTGCTGGGGTGCTGATGCCAGGTTGTGCGGAGTGTGTGGCGTGTGTGTGTGCGGGTGCGACGGAGGCGTGTGCTAGGGACAGGCATTTGCTCGCTGCGCACAACAGCAACAACTGCTCCCGCCACGCCGTGCTGTTGCTGCTGCTGGTGATGGTGGTAGCACTGGTTGAACCACCACCAGCAGCAGTAGGAGCAGGGGCGGCACTGCCACTCCCCTGGCCCACCCCCCAGCAGGGCACGCCATTCTCAGCGACCACCACAGGGTTGCACAGCCGCTGGTCGCCAGCAGCCACACGGATGCACTGCTGCAAGTACTGCGCCCGCCGTGCCACCACCTCTCCCAGCGCAGCCTGCTGCGCCCTCCACACCTGCTGCTGCTCCACCTCCCCTTCCCCCTCCCCTTCCCCCTCGCCCTGCCGCTTCCCTTCCCTTCTTCCACCCCCCTCGCCCGGCGCTCTCCCCTGCCGCTGCCTCTGTTCTCTCCGCTTCGCCAGCACCATCTGTCGCGCCTCTGCGGCAGTGGGCGTGGCGGCAGCGGCGTGGGTGAGCACGAGCACCACGCTGCGCCACACGTCCCGCCCCAGGGCCGCGCCCACGCGTGATAACATCTCCAGGTCCTCTAGCTGCTCGCCCTGCCCTGCTTCCCAGTCCAATCGATCCACTAGCAACACCACGTCTGCTACTGATGATGATGATGATGATGATGATCCCTGCTGATGCTGCTGCTGCTGCTGATGTCTATGGGAGTGGTTGTTGTGCTGGGCTATCTGTTGCAGGTGATGAAGCAGGGGTATGTGCTGCCACCACTGCTTATGCTGCTGGTGATTTTGATGGTGATGGTGATGGTGGTGCTGGTGGTGCTGCTGCTGCTGCTGCTGCGGCTTCTGTCGCTGCTGATTCAAAGACGACTTGACCTGCTTCTGCCCTTGACTCCGCTCCTTCTTCTGCTGCTGCTGCTGCTGACGCTGCTGCTGCTCCTGCCGCATTCCCCTCCTCTCGTCCCCGCACCTTTCCTCCGCCAGAAACCGTCTAAGCTGCAGCAGCACGCGCTCATTACCCGCCATGTCCGCCCCTGCAGTGCCCAGCCCAGGGAGTTCTAGCACACGCACCCCCACCCCACACACCTCGCCCACCACCTCCTGAATCCCTCCCTGCCCATCCCAACCCATCTGCAAACCCAGACTACCCAGTGCACGCTGCAACAAGCTCTGGTGTTGCCCCTCTGACGTCTCACCACCACCCCTCTGCGCCACCCCTCTTGCTCCATCCCCTCCTTGCTCTCTTGCCTCCTCCGCCTTCCCATGCGCTCTCGATTCCCCTCCCTTTCCTCCCTCACCTCCCTCATCTCTCTTCCCCACACCCACACCACCCGCAACAACCCCTGCGTGTGCACGGTCAATGCCACTCGCACCCGTAATCGCACTCCCAGTCACATGGTCACGGTCATGCCCAGGGTGAGAAGCAGCAGGTGCGCGCAAGTCCAGCAGTGAGCGCACAGTGGCGGATTTCCCCACAGCCCTGCGCCCCAGCACCAGCACAGACACATGCAACCCCAGCTGCCCACACCCCAAGCTCTCCTCCTCTAGCTCTCCCGCCCTCACCTGTGCGTCCCCCATAACCATCTCTCTCACCCTCCGACCCACCATTCCATCCCCTCCTGCCCCTCCCCCTGCCCCCGCCGCTCCCCCTGCTGTTCCCCTCCCCCCCGCGCCTGCCTCTGCGCCTGCGCGCCCCCGGGCGCTCATTCTCTCCGCCAGCTCCAGCCTGTAGAGGGTCTGCGCCACTAGGGGGTGGGTGCGCGGCTGCTGCAGGCGCATGGCCACGCGCAGCAGCAGCACGCGCAGCCTCTGCAGCGCCTCCGCTTGCACCCTGGCTGCTGCCACTGCTGCTCCCGCTGCTGCTACTGCCTCAGCATCTGCTCGCACTGTCACCGCGGCTGCTGCTGAATCTGGCCTTTCAGCTGCGAGTGAGCCCTTTTGCACTGACTCTCCGCCTCTCCCTCCTCTCTCCGCCTTCTCTTTCCCCCGCCCACCTGTCTCTCTCCAGCCCTTGCTGCTCTCCACCTCGTCCTCCTCCTCCCCCCCACTACTCCCCCCCAAGCACACCGCTCCACTCTCATCACTGCGCGTCACACCAACCCCGGCTGCTGTCACGCTCCTCCCTTTTCCGCCGCCCTCGCCACCGTCCCTGTTACCACCACCTCCTCCCGCTCCACCCACTCCCTCCCCACTGCGTATCCTCCTGTGCCGGCTCAGCCACAGCACGCCCTCCCTCCTTCCCCGCGCCACAACGCTGCGACCCGAAGCACCACTACCACGCACACCACCACCAGCAGCACCAGCAGCCTTGGCGGCACTAGCATCGTTCGCAGCACCCCTGACGGGAGCCACAGCAAGAGCAAGGGGCCTGCTCCACGCGCCTCTCCACGCCTCCGCGCGAGCACTGTTGGGAGTACTGCCACCGACTGGTGATGCGTCACGCGCACCTGCTGCAGCAGCAGCAGTGGCGAGTCGTGGCGTGAGCTTCACCGGAGGCGGCCTGGTTTTGACCCCAGATGCTGGCCCCTTCCCTGCGGTGGCGCTAGCAGTGGCGAGAGTGGCAGCAGCGGCGGGATCAGCGGCAGCAGCAGCAGCAACGGTGGCGGAAGCAGCAGAAGGAGTTGGAGCACTGAAGGAGAAGGAGTCTCCAGCACTGGTGTAACTGCTGCTGTTGCTGAACCCTTGTGCTGCTGCTGCTGCTGCCGCTCCTCCTCCTACTATTCCTGCTCCTGCGGGTGACGCCGCCCCCTCTACTAGCAGCATAGCAGCAGCAGCACTGGCATCCTCAAACGGTGCCAACTCGCCGTCCCCCGATTCCTCATCCCCTTCAACCGCATCCGCCACCTCCCCTCCACCCCTCACAGCCTCCCGTCCCTCTCGCGTTTCCTGCTCGCGCTCGCCGCGCGTCGCGGCCTCGTCCCCCGTCCACCCCAGGTCAGCGTGCAAATGCGCGATCTCCTCCGCGGTGCTGCACTCGCTCCCGCCCTCAGTCGCCCCTGTGCTGTTGGTTACCAAAGACCTGCTATTCGCCTCACTCCCGTTCTCGTTCGTCCACAGAGTCATTGGCACAGCCCCACCTGAAGAAACTCCTCCTCCTGCTCCTCCTCCTCCTGCTGCTGCCGCTGTTGGTGCTGAGCCTGCTGTTGCTACCCTAGACGCGATCGCTTCCCCAGCCGTCTGCACGGAAGCGTCATCGACAATGCACTCTTTCAGAATCTCCGCCCCTACCACACTCCCTTCCACGGGCTCCTTCGCGGGAGTTTCTCCTGATTTTCCTGCGCCATCCGATAAGGCTGCCGCGAGCTTATCACTTTCCGCTCCGCCTCCATCACCGCTCCCCTTATCTCCGCGCGCCTCTCTTCCGCGCACCTTCTCCTGCTCTTTCCGCGTCATCACGTCCGCCACCAGCTGCCACACCTCCGCCTCCGCCACTGGCTGCCCCTCCCCCGCTTGTGCCCGCCCATCCGCTCCGCTGGTCTCCGCGGAGACCGAGGCTTCCGCATACGCGCGGGCGTTTACCTCCAGTTTCCCTCGCCTACTCCCTAGAAGCGGAGAGCGTGGATCTGCGGACGAGATTCCCGACTCCTCTTCTGATTCCCCGTCTTCCGCGTCTCCCGACACGGCGGGGGGAGCGGAGAAGTCCTCCGCGTCAGAAGTGATCCGCGCGCGCGGAACGGTCAGATCCCCCACGCCCAGCACCCCGCCCGGACCAAACCCGAAACCCGGGAAATCTCCCCCGATCGAATTCTTCCGTTTGCTGCGACCCACCTTCTTTCCCCCATATACCTCCGCGCTAAGACGGCTCCGCCTGTCGAATTCCCCTGACGACCGCCGCGTGCGCCTGCGACCGGCGGAGCTTCCGCCGCCAGTTGTGCTCCGCGTTCCCGAGCCCTTGGTCCGCGCTCTGAGCCGTTTCAACCACGTGTCGTCATCCTCTTCGTCGTCGCCCTCGACGCTCAGCGGTGCGTGAATCGACGGCGGCTTCTTTGAGCCGGCACCGGTAGTTTCCGTGTTCGCGGTGCTTCTGTCATCGTCATCGTCATCGCCATCGTCACCGTCATCGTCCATGCTTATCGGTGCCCGAATAGACACCCGCTCCTCTTCGCCCTCCTCGTCCTCGTCTCCATTCCAGTCGTCTACACTCAGCGGCGCGCGGATCGACATCCGCTCCTCTTCCTCATCGTCGTCGCGGCCGCCGCCGCTGCCAAGAGGAGATCTGCGCGCAGCGGCCCGTTCCCCCCTGCCACTGCGCCCGCGGGGAGGATTCAGCGGGCCGCGGCTACCGCTTCCGCGCGACTCCGGCTCCTCCGCGAATTCATCCTCGTCCTCGTAATCATAGTCTACGCTGACAGGCGCGCGGATCGAGATCCGCTCCTCCTGGTCGTCCCCGCTTCCGTCGCTGCCGGACGCGCCGTCGTCGATTTGCTCCGCCATAGCCCGCGGCGCGAAGCGCGAAGGCCCACCCGGGTATGCAGGCGTAGCTGCTGTGAATCCTGGGACGACGCGTGGCCCCGGTTGTGCGGCAGCCGCCGACGCAGCCGCTGCCGCAGCAGCCGCCCTTGCTTCCGCCGTTGCTCTCGACCCTGCCGCCGCCGCCGCTAGCATTGCTTCTGACATTGTTCTTTTCTCCGCCGCCGATGCCGCTGCCGCTGCAGCTGCAGCAGTCGCCGTTTGGTGGGTGTGTGACTGTAAAGGACGGTGGTAGCCCGCGGCAATGGCCGGCCCTGGAGCCGCGTCGCGGATCTGAGCGTCGGTGGGGTGTGTACGGCCGTCATTTGCGTAGGGATGGGAGGAAGGGAGGGTGTGGCGGGAAAGAGATTGATGCGAGGTATCAGTGACTTGGCTTGAGCTGGGGGAAGTGAAAGTGGAACCAAAGCCCGAGATGTTGTTGTTGTAACCCGGCTGCATTGTTCTGGAATGAGGGGGATCTTATATAAAAGCTTGCCTAATAGCACTGTAACGTCAATAGATAGACGGTAAGCATTAGACGACAGTGAGAGCTTCTGACAGCTGGCACTGAAACATGTTGCTGAAAATAGCTTAGTAAACTAATAGCCTCAGGGAGAATGGACGACGAACCGTTCAAGTCGCATTACGTATGGTACGGAGAAACCGAATAAATAATTGAGAACGACGCTGGACTGAAGAGAGTCGCAACTCTTGGTGCGTGCCTCCGGTCTGGAGTAACACGCCATGACCAGCACAAACGATGATGTGGTTATCATATCACACAGCACATCCCTCGCCCATCTGGGTTCTGGCTTGACTGGAGGGAACCCAGTTCAGTCACATCATCATGGAGGAGAGGGTGGATGGATAACCCCAAGGACCTCCCTCCCCTCACGAATGTTTGATTGCCTCGCCTCGATTGCCTTGGATGTCAGCCCCAGAGCACGGCACCATTGACGCATCCCCCACGGAATATCTCACATCCACCCACACTCGCTCACTTCTGTACCCCCCAGCGCTGCGCCTTAGGGCGTGTCCCATAACGTGTGTTTTCATTATTGGATGATGCGCGCTGAGGATCAAAACGACACCGACTGCGCTACGAGTTCTAGGCATAAACTATCGGTGAGAAATGACCGTCGTGTTGTGACGCGTGTCCCGATCCGCTGACCTTGATGGCTGCCTGGACACAAGATCGAGGCATGTTACACCTAAGAGACTCGACACTTGGTAACGAAACCAAAGGTTATTCTCCCCGCGGTACTGGCTCCCTATGGCGTAAGCGATCGCCGTAATTCCGGGTTACGCGGAAACGGCTCTGACAAGGTGGGACAGCAGAAGTGTGTGAACCACACAGCCAACCACTTGCTTGACAGCTGGTTTGGGGATTGGTCGAGGTGACCTCAAGTCAACGTCAGCACTCAGCCCGTATTCTTTGTAGTGTCCTCTTTTACACAACAGTACAGTGTCTTCTGCACAAAACTAACTTCTGTAGCCCAATGATTGTTACATGGAGGTTGGCAGTGGTGTGTGATAAAGGTACCGTACTTCATAAGTCTCACTACTGGTAGTAGCACCAGACCGGAAAAAGAGGTTGCCTCTATGAAATGGTCGTGGGATTTAAGGAACACAGAATCTACTTCAGGCAAGCACAAGCATGAGCCATGCTGGAAAGGAAAACGATGAACTTCGAAATATAACTCTCAAGAGTGCATTAGTTCCTACTTCACATATCGCTACTTGACAAGACAGCATGGTTTAGCAGTCTACCAAAAGTACCCTGAGTGAAGTATGTCCAAAGCCTACTCAGCAGCAACGGGCTCAGGCAAGGGGGTGGTCTCAGGTGCATTGGACCGGAAAGAATTGAAGAACTCAGTTTCTGACTCCACATCCTCGTCAAAGGCCAGACTCAATGTCTGCATGCTGAAGCCCGCACCTTGGACCACCTCAACCAGTCCTGACGCGACACCTGTCTCCTGCACTGTGGTTAGCTTGGTAAGCTGGAAAGGCAGAGAAAAAGGGAGGTAAAAACCACAATCGCATGAGGGGGTTGAATACTACATCGAGGAAAGAGCAGCAAAGTGCACTTCGTCAGAAGTGTGCTTGCAGAACAGAGCATTAGAGGAGGGGGCACAAGGCAGGGGAAAGGATGTAAACGACCACAGGTAGGAGATCAAGGGAGTAAGGGTGGTAAGGAGGAGTTGGTACTACAAAGCACACCACTCATGGCACACTGTGCAAAGCAAACCAATAACCAGACAACCAACCGCGGCACAACCATCACCCAGTAAAGTCACCCCACCCACAAGCCCCTCGCCTTTTCAATTCAAACATCCCCAGGCATCCAAGTGTATGAGACATGGGGCCGCGCACGCACGCACCTCCACAGTGGCGCAGCCCTCGAGCACGGTGACCTTCACGTTGTGCACTCCCTCCACAGCCTGCCACCATGAGCACAGCACACGTGGCATGTCATGCGTTAAGTTCGCTTAGCAATGCAGGGCATGGCATCGCAGAAGAGACGGGGAATGGGCTATCTGGTAGGTCAGCGAGAGGGGCCAGTAGCAGCGGGGAGAAGATGGAGCAGCGGCTGCAGCAGCAGAAGTTCGCGTATGCACATGGCATTCGAGCAGATGCTGCTAGAAATGCTCTCTCCTGGAATGCGTCTGTCTTCTCTCATGTACGTCCATGCTCCATGGGTCTCTCGTCAAGATGGAAGCCACACGGTATGTGTGTCAGTAGCTCAGTCATTCTGGCAGGCACTTTCGTTCGCCCCCGCCCCTCTCTCGTTCCGCCCCCCTCCCGTTCTACACGACCTAGGCTTCTTCCACGATCAACAGCGCGCTCTGTACCGCTCACCACGCCCTCTCATCTTACTATCCATACCACAACACAGCTCAACCCACAAAGCAATCAGAATCTCCCGAGCGAGCGGTGCCATAGCTAGCAAGACCCCTTCGGCGACACACGCTGGGCCTTAAACAGCTTCTGAGATCACTCGGTGCTTCATAGCCTTTATGGCTCCCCGATCGCGCGAGTCCTGAGCGATCTAAGAGCACTAGACAGCCCCGGATTCATGACACACTGACAGACAACAAGCTCGCCTGATGCCTTCGCACGGTCTAAGATACAAAAGAAAAAGACGCTGCCCCCTACTACTCTTCCTCCTACTGCTCCTACTCCTCGTACTCCTCCTGCATCCCCATCCTAGGGTAACTTCTCAACAGTAAAAAAAGACATTTACTCCAGGTAAATCAGATAAATATCTCTATGTCTGGCGAAGCGACTTAAACAATTCGACGGTTCCCGAAGCCTTACCTCAAGCGCCTTGGTAACCTTCGCGACAGACGGCTCGGGAAGGGAGCCCTCGGCCTGCAGAGTTGAAAAGAGGAAATGAAGTGCGGAGGAAGAAGCGCAGGCGTTAGCCGGGGGGAAACCGGCAATACCGTGGAACAGCAGGAGACGGAGAGCGTGAGAGAAAGAGAAGTCGAGGGTAGGGGAGCGAAGGGGAAAAAAAGGCGCGAGACTTAGCAACTCCATCTGCGACCTAGCGATCCAGCATTCTGACAGCATTGCGACAGCATTCTGAACAATGCAGGAAACATTGTTTTGAATGAATTAGTGCATGAGGACGAGCAATAGCGCCTCAATTCCTAGCATTCTCAAAAGTATCTAGAATCTGCGTGGAAGCATTTCATCCCGGCACATCCACAACTTCACAGATTCACGCGCATGGAAGCTGCGATGGGAGGCGGGCCGGGGAAGAGGCGCAAGGTCGATCCGAGAAACTACGTAGACCATAGTGGACCGCGACACGTCAAAAGATTCAGAGGACGTCTCAGCAGTAGCTCCAGGTGAACGGAAACCCTAGACTCTCGGATAGGAAAAGCCGTGACGCAAATCGTGTCGGCCTTGGCAGTGCTTGACGAGAGAGCGGGTGTTTAAATGAGACAGTCTGTTTCCGCCTATCAACCTCACGAACGTCGCGAGCCATCACATTTCGTCGAACGCATCGCAGAAGCAGGGAGGCGCACCTTGAAGTACATCACAAGCTCGTCGTTGCCCACATACTCCACCTCCTCCTCGGTCACTGCCACCTCAGCCTCGGCTGCCACGTCAGCAGCGGCCTCTTCCGCTGCCGCTGCGGTTTGAAACCGCTGCTGCAAGCGGTCGCTGCGGCGGGAGGGCGATGCGCCAACAGCTGCGCATGAGCGGAGAGCGGCTGCGCGGGGGGTGGACGACGCAGAAACTGCGGAGGAAATCTGCGCCGCGGCAAGGGTGGCCGGGCTTGTAACGCGGACAAGGAACGATGTGGTGGCCATTCTCAAAGCGCTCCGAGATTAGGGAGACGAGGTAGTGTAAGTGGGGAGCTTGAAGGTGTCAGGGGCCTGAAATGACGGACGAAGGTGGTTCAGAGGAACGAGTCATGAGTAGGAGGATGGGTAGTGAGGGGAAGTTTTGGAGAGAGGTTTAGGGGCTTGAGGAATGGAATGTGCTTGGTGAAGTGAAAACTGGTTCTGTGCGTTTTAGTGCGATCTGTGACGGTACGTGGATCGACAAGGTACAACTTTTGTGAGATGAAGACCTGTAGTGTGTTGTTGGAGGGGGTCTGTGTGATGGGTTTGGTTCTGAGTGACGCGGCAGCATTTCGAGGTGTGACAGTGCCACGCATGACACGATGACGGGGAGGGTTTGCCAGCATGGCCTAGTCCCGTTCGAGGCTTACGGATTTGGTGATGTGGTGGGGCGTGGCCGCCAAGATGCGATGATAATGGAGTGATCGCATGGGTTGGACGGCTAGGACCAGAGGCTACAGATTTTCATCGTTGTAGAATATGTTAAAACTGCTTCTATTCCTTTAATATTGCTAAAAGAGCTACTGCCACACACCCAGCATTTGAGATTTAGATGAATCAAATAAAGCACATATGTTACTATAATAAATTAATCGACAGTCACATGAATTAATGTTAGAAACTAGTGAG